ATGGACTCCAGGTGGTTCTGATAGAACAGACAGACATTGATAACGGGGGAGGCTGGGCACGTGCGGAGGCAGGAGATTTGTGGACAATCTGCACCTCTTGTTCAGTTTTGTTGAGAACCAAAACCTCTCTAGAAGATAACGCCTACTCAAAAGTGTATATTTATGTAATAGCTATATTAAGGACCCTCCTGTGTCCTCATAGAAAGCACTTTGTATCTCATTTAATTCTAACAACTCTTTGAGGTAAATATCATTGTTTTATGACTTATTTTATGTATGGAAAATGGGGATCAGAGAGGTTTAGAAATTTGTTCAGGGTCACCCAGAAAGCACTGGCTCCACAGATTAGGGGAAAAAAAAAAAAAGTCTTTCTTTTCAAACCTGGGCCAAGCCTGAGTTTTCAGAAGATCCTGGGAGGGTCAGACTCTTCTCTGCATGTGTGTTAAGTACCTGACTGTGCTGACTGTGTATCTCTGTGTGGATGCAACTGAGGTTTATTACAGAAAACTGGAAGTATCTGTCAGTCAGCAACTGGACAAGATGGAAATGAGATCACCAGGCACTTCGTAAACAAACACTCTCTTCTCCCTGTGCCCGTGATTCACGTCAAGCAGAGAGCTAGAATGTCTAATCTCATCAGACCTAGCCTGTATTTTTTTGTGGGCTGTCTGTTTGCTTCTCCTCTTTTGTTTAGGGTAAACAGCTCCTTAGATAATTTAGTCCACTCTAACCGGTGTTTTTCTCTGGTATCTTCGATTTTTCTTTTCAATTTTTTTCTGGAAAGTTCTTTGCCAGCTTCTCAATGATTAAAGCGTGGTCTGTAAAGTTTATCGTCCTTGTTTACCCTTTTGATTTCGTTCAACTGAATGCACAGCCAGGTCAGGTCCAGAGAAGACACAGGCAGGAATGCCAGGTGTGGAGGTTCAGCGGCCTCCCAACCCCAGGCTGGAAGGCTCCCAGGTCTGACTGGTGTGAGCGTCACATTCCTCAGCGGGGACCCAGGTTCTCAGGGAGGTTTTCTGACTTGCATGGGCCTCCTCAGCCAGGGACAGAGACAGAATCAAACCCAGGGCTTCTGACTCTTTCCCCTCCATCAGGTCCTGAATCTCTCCCACCTTTTCTCACTCTGAGCCTTATAGCCACCCCTGAGCATATGCCTCCTGGTCCAGCCCAGGGCGTGCCCCTCCCTGCCTCAAGCTGATTGGTTTGAGAGTGAACATTTCACATTCCTCAACACAGAGAACTGAGGTCTCACCCAAACTAGCTCACCTAAGAGGAGCCTAAGTTCTTGGTAGACAAATGAATTGATCAGTGGAAATGGTCTTAGCTAACTATGCAGGATATTTGCTCCAGATCTTCTTTTCCACCACAAACCCAAGGACAGAGGAAATTGGGGGGTGGGGGGGCTTGTAGAAAGTATCAGCAGAAGATGCATGCCTTAAATAGTGTGTTCCCTTGATTGAAAGATACTGTTTTCCTTTGAGAAATAAAGCAACATCAGTGAGAAAACCTCTAAAGATGTGGGCTGAGCCAGCTGCCACTCAGAGAACTGGTAAGGACTACTGGAGATGCCTCTTTGAAGTATCAGCTAAGCAGACCAGTGTTGCCCAGATGGGGAGGACTGGGAGTGATTCTATATTGGTCCATTTTGTTTACTATGACAAAAACCCCGAGGCTGAAAACTTTATAAGTAATGAGGTTTATTTGGTTCACAACTGTGATAGTTGGTCCAAACAGCACAGACCCTTTGGCTACATGACAACATGGTGGAGAAATAAAAAGGGAAACGACCACACGCAGGAGGGGCCAAATGCTTGGGGTGCCCTTGCTTTTTAACAACCTGCGCTCACAAGAATTAATTCACACCTTCAGAATACAATCCAGTCCGCAAGATCAACATTAAAAAACATTAATCCGTTCACTAGGGTGGAACCCCCATGACTTAATTACCTTCTAGAAAGCTCACCCCTTTTTTGCTTTTCTTCCTTTTTAAACATTTTTGATTCATTATTCTATTTATTTGTTTATTGGCAGTTTTAGGGATCAAATCCAGGTCTTCTAGCACATGCTAAGCAAGCACTATACCACTGAGCTGCATCCCTCTGATCCCCATTTTCCATACAAATGTATTGTGAAATATATATTTGTAGTTGCATAAGGGGTAAAATAGGTCCTTCCACCTCAACATCACACAATGGGGTCCAAGCTTCCCATACTTGAATCTTTGGGAGACAAACCGTATCCAGATCATAGCAGATCTCTGGCTCCCAGGAGCGGCTTTTTCTTAGACGAATCTAAAAGAAGCTTCCGCTCTCTACAGGAAACGTGAGCTCTCCCTTAAGACCAGCTGGAAGATTCTGCTCATCCCCTTGAAGGGACTTGGTTTGGCTTGGATTCTCCAGCTGGCCCCTTTCCCAACTCCTCAAGTGTGGGGTCCCCACTGACCCTCCATGGCAGAAACACACACCCTTCAAGCCTCCCCCTGCCCATGTCCCTGCTCCTTTATCACCAAAGCTTTGTCCTTCGGCTGCTGTTGCCACCTCCCACCCTCTGTGGACACCAGTGTGGATTCCCTCAGGGCTCTCCCACCTCCTGCTGGGCCAGCAAGCCCTTCACCCTCTTTGTCCAGGTTTCTGTTTTTTGAAGATGCATGTGGTAGAACTAAGTGCTGCAGCAAGTTTTATGGTTCAATGAATTAGTCACTACAAATTCATGATCCGTATCCACACTGAGTTACCCCTACACACTATTTTTATTATAAGGGGTCCAGATGTGCAATTCTAACTCACATCCCAGGGGTGACTTGAGGTTAAATTGTGACTATAGAACTTCAGAAGAGTCTTACAGTTCGGTTTTGGTTTCCTATCACACAGCACTGTGTGTATGTCATGGTTTTGATTGTAAATATCCCCCAAAGGTTCATGCGCTAAAGGTCTGGTCACCAGCCTCTGGCACACAACTGGGAGGCAGTGGAACCTTTAGGAAGTGGGGCCCTGTGGAAGAAGTGAGGTCATTGGGGTCGTGCCCTTGAAGGGAAGAGTGGGATCCTGGCCCCTTCCAGTTTGTCTGTTTGTTTCCGGGTCAACACGTGGTGAGTAATTTCTTGCACCATAAACTCCCTACACTGACAATTCTGCCTTACCACAGGCCCAAAGACAATAGGGCTAAGTAACTATGGACTGAAACCTCTGAAACCATGAGCCAAAAATGAACATTTCCTCTTTATAAGTTGACTTTTCTAGGTACATTGTCACAGCAACAGAAATAGGACAGTAAGAGTGCATGCACTGTGTAGTACCTATGGTTGGATAGTAGGTAATTGCATAAGGGGTAAAAGATTAATATACAGACTCCTGGAAGCTGGCTGTCGTGACCAGAGCAGATTCCATGCAGGAACTTGAGACTTTTGTAGGCCAGAAAGTTGCAATGGCCTAAGGCCTGGAAAGATAAGAAACTTGTATTGGATATACTCCTGGGGTAGCCAGTTACATGGCAGCAGATGTGGTTTCTATGGATAAAGGAAACTAGACCCTGACAAGATGACCTCCATGAGATAATCTGCAGAGAGGGAAAATTAATTTTTTTAAAGAAGCAAAGATGTTTTGAGTTTTCAACCCCCCCGCCAAAGCAAGAATAATTATTAAGACCTTTTCTTTTTTTCTTCCTTTTAAAGTCAATTTTTAGGTTATCCAAAATTACAACCTTATCAAAAACAGGATTCCAGAATTAAGCTGCAAGAATATCCCTGTAATGATAGAAAGTCACGTGATATTTTATTACTGTTTACTTGGTTATTGTTTTCTTTCGTGAAATATATATTTGTAGAGATTCCTCTTGATTTCCAAATTGAAGGTCCATAAATGACAAATATGTTCTTAGTAACTAATATCAGAAAAATCTGGCTGCTGAAACTAGTTCATGCATTATAGGGTCAAAGGACAAGCTTTGAGGAAGACCCTGGTAAAACTTCACTTGCTTTATACAAATCCAACTGGTTTATAAGATAATTTTATGACATTTTAACCACAAGCTACAGATTCAATCTTTGAGATATTTCCTTTTGTACAAATCTTAGCATTTAGGAAAAGGTTTTATATAATCAAAGAAGAAAAGCCCTTTATTTTTATTATGACTGACAAGACTAATTTGGCATAAAAATTTCCATTGCTTTCTAGTGTGATTTTAAGTGAGAGGGAAGGGGACTCAACTTAGTCTAACTTCTATATTCTCTGACTTAATGAATTTAGTTTTGTTCTAAAGTTGTATTGCTTTTTAGCTAAATATTCAGTAAATATTATTCTCTCTAGCATGTCTCATTTATTATCTGAAAATTTTAGCATTTGCTCTTTAAAAGTCAATTAAATATTTTTGTATAAGCATATAATTAAATATTTGGACATATGCATATCTCATAAAAATATCCAAAAATAATTGTCTTCATAAATTTTCTTCCACATTTTCCATCAAGAACACTTCAAAAAGTTTTAATTCAACTAGGGAATAAATACAGAATGCATTTTAATAAAATAAATCTGTGATCCATAATTTAATGTGTTTTTAGAAGCAAGCTTCTCAAATCTATTTTACATGAATTTCATGCTAGAAACATATTGTAATGACATGGATATTCTAGTACTTTCTCCTCATTTAAAAAAAAAATTACCTTAACATTGTAATTAAAACTCCAAGGAGGCATAAACCTTATAATTATAGCAAATCATGATCATAGAAAGAATAACTCACACTTTTAAGGAAAAAAAAATTGAGTGAATCAACAAATTGCATAAAATATTATATTCTGAGTTGTCAAGCCAGTCCTCAACCCGCTAGTTCCTGTCCCAAAGCTTCACCCATCACACCGGCCAATGAGCGGTCCCTGTCGCCCCCTTCCTGCCTCAGGTCTTGCTCTTCCCTTGAGATCAGTTTGTTGGGAGTGTGAAAGGAGAAGGCCCAGGGATGCCCTGACCCCTTTTTCTGCCCATCTCAATGCCACTACCACCATGGGCCTCACCATCTCTTCTCTGTTCTCCCGCCTCTTTGGCAAGAAGCAGATGCATATTTTGATGGTTGGATTGGATGCTGCTGGCAAGACGACTATTCTGTATAAACTGAAGTTAGGGGAGATAGTTCCCACCATTCCTAACATTGGTTTTAACATGGAAACAATAGAGTATAAGAACATTTGTTTCACTGTATGGGATGTTGGGGGTCAAGATAAAATCAGGCCTCTCTGGAGGCATTACTTCCAGAATAGCCAGGGTCTTATTTTTGTGCTAGATAGCAATGATCGTGAAAGAATTCAGGAAGGAGCCCAAGTACTGCAGAAAATGCTTGAGGAAGATGAGCTGCAAGATGCAGTGCTGTTGCTTTTTGCAAACAAACATGATTTCCCAAATGCTATGGCTATCAGCGAAATGACAGATAAATTAGGCTTTCAGTCTCTCCGCAACAGAACATGGTATGTTCAAGCCACTTGGGCTACACAAGGAACTGGTCTGTATGAGGGACTTGATTGGCTGTCAAAGGAGCTTTCAAAATGTCAAATGAAACTGGATATCTAACTAAGGACACATTTTGATAGAATTGGTCTAGGCTTGTTACAACAAAATTAGTTTGCATCTTGGATATTAAACTGTATCTGGGACTGGTTTGGGCAGAATATTACAGCGTTTAAACTTATTTTGCTGCCAGTTATTGTTTACCAAGTATAATGTTGCTCTTTAGCAATACGCTTGGTTTTAAAGAAATTCTCCTTGGGGGAAAAAAGTATCCTCTTTTAATTTTGACTTCCTTTAAACCTAAATGCCTGGACATAGCTATTGTGACACCTTTAAATAAATCAGTTTTGAATGTTTTTTGAGCCTACAACAAATAATGTTTTAAAGTTATTATCCCCTTGCTACTTTATTGATACCTGTATCATTCCTGGGACAGTCTGCTGATTTGAACATGTAGCATTGCATTTGTATTTATTTCTATCCCTTGCCAAAAGGATTTTCTAATACTGCTTGTACCAGCCAGGGAAATGCTCCAAAACACTATTCAGCTCTCTTGCACTGAGGAACTTAATATTTTTTCCCTATTATTGACTCCTGGCTTCCATCAGCCAAACTTAACCTTGGTGTGGTTTGGATTTGATAGCTAATTCTGTGCTGATTGCAAAGAGTTCATATTGAGATGGCTTTTAATACTCAGCAGATTGTCTTTCTTTACATTATTATCTTCTTTATGTTGCATGTTGCTTTTGGTATCAGCCTGACTCTTTGCCCAGTATATGATAGTTCTGCTGGTGTTTTGTTTATTGATGAACATATTTTCATTAAGAGTTTTTTTTTTAACTCAGCAAACACAATGAATAAGTTTTCTTCATAACCCATTTGAAATTATTCCTAAAAAAAAAAAAAACATTATATTCTAATGGCACATTTTCATGTCATGCACACAGAGGTGAATGGTAAGTGTGTTGGCAGTTGCGTTGGGAGATAAGAGAAGTCCAAGTCCATTCTCTTTGGAGTTGCTTGTTTAAGATAGTTTTCTATTTTCAAAAACGGTTAGGGAATTACCTTGTGCAGAATGGCATCAGATGGCATTAGCCCCCCTCTCTCCCTTCCTAGATACAGAGCCAGGAGTTTTCTGTAGTGGGATGGAGAAACACAACAATCAACATGGCCTTGCCTGTGTGTGTGTCATCCTTGGGCCTGGAGTTAGGCACAGCATGTAGATGAAATGTAGGTTTTCTTTTTTAATATATATTTGTAATATGTATGTTTTTAATTTCTATTTTACTCAAATGTTTTTCAATATTAACTGCTATAGAAAAATATAGCTTAATTTATAATAGTTTTTTCAAAATGGAACAGGGTTGAAATAATTGAGAAAAAACAACCTTCTATCTTACTGGTTATCATGAAACTTTAAGAGAAAATGAAGGCATTGCTATAACAGAATGATATGCTCAATTGTATTGAAGGTACACTCATACATTGCTGGTGGGACAGCAAATTGATTCAACCACTCTGTAAAGCAGTATGGAGATTCCTTAGAAAACTTGGAATGGAACCACAATTTGATCCAGCTATCCCACTCCTCCTTTTATACCCAAAGGACTTAAAATCAGCATACTACAGTGAAGCAGCCACCTCAATGTTTATAGCACCTCAATTCCATAGCTAAACTATGGAACCAACCTAGGTGCCTTTCAAAGGATGAATGGATAAAGAAATTGTGGTACATATACACAATGGAATATTACTCAGTTTCAAAGAACAGTGAAATTATGGCATTTGCTGGTAAATGGATGGAACTGAAGAATATCGTGCTAAACCAAATAAGCCAATCCCCAAAATCTAAAGGCCAAATGTTTTCTCTGATATGAGGATGCTGCTCCGTAATTGGATAAGCAGTGGCTAGGAAATAATGGAGGAACTTTGTATTGGGCAGAGGGAAATGTGGATTTTTCTATTCCCAAATATAGAGGGAGGGGAGAAGCCACTGAAAGCTGATTCAACTAGGGTCCCAAGTCTCCACAAATTAGTGGAGGTCTTAGCCAACTTCTTCTGCAGAAGGTAGAAGCTGATCCTGCACCAACACTACATATGGAAAGTGGCCAACTAGAAATGGAAATTCAGTAGGGTCTGAAGACCTCATTTCTCCCTTTTCCAGTATTTACACATCCACATGATTTGGGGTGAGAATTTACTCTGGGAGTTTTGGGGATTTTTTAATCTGTAAAATGAGGGCTAGATGGTCCATGAGGTTCTCCATCCTATTCTACTTTAAAATAACCAGTGTCTGGAATTATGCACCAACTAGAGGAGACCCAGTTGCAAACCAATCTCTGGGTGATAATTCTAAGCTGTTATTTTATTTCTAGGTTAAACTTGTTAAACGTTAAGTTTCCTAAATTCAAGTGAAAATTGGAAGACTTGGAGTCAATGCAAGGAAGCATGAGTTGTAAAATAAAAGCTAAAGGAGACAGTCATACCAAATGATAGGAGTGGCTACATGGCATTTTGTATTAGATATATATAGATATATAGAGTATGTATTTTCATTGTATAAATCATTGGAGCCTGTTAAATAAGAAGGAAAATAATTTTTTTCTTATTGTTTCCAGAGTTTTTTCAGTAACCACAAGAATCTTCAAGAAAGTATTTCTCACTTTAAAAAAAAATGCAACTTTAAAGGGATTATACACCATGATTAAGTGGAATTTATTCCTGGTATGCAAAATGGAGCTCAATATAATATAGTCATTGACGGATTAAAGGAAAAACCCACATGATCATCTCAGTTGGTAAAGAAAAAGAAATGGACCAAATTCAACACCCTTTTATGTTTACAAAAAAGCAAACAATAGGCTACCTCAATACAATAAAGGCCAGATACGAAAAGTCCCACAGTTTACATCATACTGAAAGTTGAAAAATTGAAACCTTTTCCTCTAAGAACAGGAATAAAATAGGATGCCCACTCTCCACTCTTCTTTAAAGTTCTATCCAGTGCAATTAAGCAAGAAAAAAGTGAAAGAACTCATTCTTGCCGTTGAACATCTTTCCTCCAACAACCCGAGCTACCCTGGTCATCTTCCCTAGCACTGGGTCCTAGCCATTGGTGGACTGTAAAACAATTTTTGAAGGTTTGTTCCAATTTTAGTATTATTAACACTAGGAAATAATCAATTACATAATTATATATAATATATGTGGATGATATGTATAGATATAATTAATAATAATATATCAGTAGCATAATTCAGCTGATATTTTGGGTCAGCAAGCATCATAAATGTGCAAAAATTACTTCAGAGAAATCAGAACCAAAGGAATTTCGAGGTGTGGGGCAGCTTGAATCTGTGATAGGGTGTGGAGGGTTCAGAACATCCAGTGATTACGGAGAGGTGGAAAAACACAGAAACGAGCAGGAGAAAATGTTTTCTAAAGACAGTTTCATTCCTTCCATTCTTCTGTTCTGTGGAGTTGCACTCCCCAACATTCAAACTACCAGCTCAGTCCACCTCTGATTCAGTGATATCATATGTTCAACAGAGTTCTTGTAATTTACTATAGCATCTTTCCTCTAAACTTTAAAATATGATGAAAGAATGTAGATCTGTCATTGACAATTTATAGATTTGTTATTCCTGTTCTTGAATTTCATATAGATGGAAGCATACAGTATATAAACTTTCATGTCTAGCTTCTTTTCATCAAAATCATTATTTTGAGATTCATCCTTCTTGTTGTATGAATCAGTAATTTATTGCATAATATTTCTGAACATGAACACATCACAATTTGCTTAGCCATTCATCTGTCCATGGATATTTGTGTCTTTGCAAATTCTTAGCAGCTATGTATAAATCTGTACAACATGTAAACATTTTTATACAAGTATTTTGTGGAAATTTTTTTCCATTTCTCTTAGGCAGATACCCCGGAGTAAAGTTGTTACATCATGTAGTAAGTGCACTTTATCAGAAACTACCAAAGACTTTTAGAAAATGGTTGTACAATTTTACCCCGACACCAACAAAGTATGGAGGTTACAGCAGCCCCATATTTTCATTGATATTTGGTATTGCCAATCTTTTCAGTGGTAGCCATCCTAACGGATGTGAACTGGTGATTTTTAGCTTGCATTTCACCTTTTCATAGACTGTCCACATATCTTCTTTTGTGAGATGTGTATTCAAATCATTTTCTTTGTTGTTGTTGTTGTTTGAGTTGTTAGTGTTTTATTTATAATCTGGAGGCATTCTTTATATGTTCTAGTTATGAATCCTTTGTCAAATGTATATATAGTTAATAGTCTCTGCCAGTCTGTGTTCGCATTTGTATTTTCTTAATGGTCTTGTAAAGAATAGGTCTTTAATTTTATGAAGTTCAGTTTTTCAATTGTTCTTCTTTTGTGGTTAGGGCTTTCAATGGCCTTTCTAAGAAACTTTTACCTACTCAAGATCATGATGATATTTTCCTGTATTCTTCCAGGAGGTTTAGAGCTTCATACATTAAGTTCAGACTTATTCTTGCTCTCAAAGTAACCTGAATATGGTGTGAGATAGGGATTAGCTCTCCTCTGCCCATGCGCACACATAACACATGCACATTTATCTAGTTGCTCCCACATCATCATTTTATTTTTTAATTAATTGCTCTTATTTTTTAAATACATGACAGCAGAATGCATCACAATTCTTAATTCACATATCGAACACAATTTTTCATACATAGAGTATGTTCACACCAATTCATGTCTTCATACATGTACTTTGGATAATGATGTCCATCACATTCCACCATCATTGCTAACCCCCTGCCCGCTCCCTTCCCCTCCCACCCCTCTGCCCTATCTAGAGTTTGTCTATTCCTCCCATGCACCCCCTCCCTACCCCATTATGAGTCAGTCATCTCATTTCAGAGAAAATATTCGCCATTTGTTTTTTGGGGATTGGCTAACTTCACTTAGCATTATCTTCTCCAACTGCATCCATTTACCTACAAATGCCATGATTTTATTCTCTTGTATTGCTGAGTAATATTCCATTGTGTATATATGCCAC